GCTGGCTCTGCAGCACCGAGCCGCAGTGGGTTGGTAGGTTAGAGCTGTCTCTGCCGCCGGTCTTTCTCCATAAGTGCCGATATGTGCTACTGGGGCTTTGGGACTCGGAGAAAGTAGCCCGTCACCAGCACAGCACTGGGAAGAGGGGCACGATTCCCTGGCTACCTCTCCCCGTCTGCCCGGGCCCCGGCACTCTGAGCAGGAGCTGGTGCGGGAGTCGTGGAGGATGAAGGGTGGCAGCGATCCTTGTGGGCCGCTGCTGTGCAGCGTTAGCTCAGTGACTGCTGCTGCCGGACGGCAGTGTGGATGAAGGGTGGTACTGCCTCAGCTTTATCACTGTGTCTGGCGTGTGCTGTAACGTTTTGCACTTCCCTGTGAAGGTGCTGAGCTTGTTGTGGCGAAGAACCGACTCGCTGTTGCTTATGAGTGTGAAGGAAAAGCTCATAACACGTAAATGTCCAAGGCTAAGCAAGGCGAAGAAAAGCACTTCTAAATTCTTTGGGGTGGAAAAACCCCTGCTATTTTTAGGGTTTGGCTGTGAGTGCTTGTGGCCTGCAAGGTAAAGGTCACGAGAAGACCGGAGAAGATTCATCCTGAGAAGGACACAGAAAGCCATAGCAAGACCACTGTCACCACCTAAAATTACAGAAGCTTAGGACTGTGCCCATGAGTGGGATTGGGCTCGCTTCGTTCAGGAGAGCATTCCTACTTGTTTGCATCTCATCGGTGTGCCTAGAAAGCGCTGTGCTTCCTCTCCCCTTCCCAGCCATCTGCTCCCTCTGTAGGCTCCCTCCCAGCCTGGTGAAAGCAGCATTTCTCACTCTCTGACTAGTGTGCTCTGAGACTTGCTCCCTCATTGCTGGTAATTCGGGCTCTTTTCCCTCTCTGGCTCACCTGCACGTAAAGGTTTGCTGGCAGGATTATGCTGACAAGCATTTCTGGTATTTAGTGGTATAGCTAAAGTGATTAGCCCTGAGTGCAGTACTACAGTAGTGAAAGTGCTTTTGATCTAGTCCTTAGCATTTAGTTCTAATTTCAGTAGACCTAGATATAGTAATTAACCTAAAAATAATACAGGAAATAATATACGATAATTATTAGAGACTGAATAAGATAAAAGCAAGTAGTAGCTTAGCACATATGAGCATCTTTTAGACTTTATGATCAGGAAATAAGAAATGGAGAGAGGAAGTGTCGCTTCCTATGGGCATAAGGATAGAAGAAACAACTGAAGTGCTGCCTCCTGGATTAGCATGGCATTTATTGTGTTTAGGTGGACACGTAGCGTGTTCACGTCTGGTTCCTTTTTGTAAGTTCTATTTCTACAATTTCTATTGAACAGAGGGAGAGATCGTAACTAGAAACATTATGGAGGAAATGATCTTTAGATTACTGTTGAATCGCAGGCTTTTGGATTCCTCTCCTGTGTAAAGTGTTCATGACCAAACAGTGTCCTCAGATCTGGGAAACGGAGCAGTTCTCGTGCCATTGTGCAAGGTACTCGCAGGGCTTTGTCCGTAATGCAGCGTGCAGGTCCCGTTCCCCATGCTCGAGGCGGAGCAGGAGCAGAGTCTATATGAGAGAAGATTACGAGTGAGGCTTGTTTAGCCTGGTAACGTGAAAGCTGGTGGAGGTTATGCTTGTTTTCAGCAGGCGCCCTGGAAGCGCGAATGTATGTAGGGGCAGAGGAGCAG